TTTGTCTAAACGTGTTTCGAGTGCCCTATGTCAACCTTTTTTTTTTTTTTTTTTTTTTTTGCATATGGAGAGTGCCTTATTGAAACAATAGTTAAGTATGCTTCAGGATCCCATAGGATCAAGCCCCTCAGAGTGCTTGGGCAGAGGAACGCCCAACATTGGAGCTCAGGCAGCTCTAAGAGTGAACAAGACAGTTTGGGCCAACTCTGGGCTTGCTTGGGTGCTGATCTCTAGATGCTTGAGGACATCAATCTTTAAGAAAGGTCCCTAGAGTGAGGCTTAACATTTAGCTGAGATAACTGACACTAGTCTATCTGGCCGCCTTAGTCAATGGCAAGAGAATCTAGCAGAGGCCCGTATGCAGCTCTGTAGAGTTTGGTTTCTGCTCTGAACTACCCCCTGACTATACAGAGAGCCAAGGAAGAAAGGTCCAAAATTAGGGAGTATGAATACTCCTCCTGTGGTTCTGGAAGTTTTTTAGAAGGAAAGTGACAATCATTGAATTTTAACAATTTGAGTCTTACTAGCCTAATTAGATGAAATCTTCATTTGGTAGCACTGATTTTTGAGAGCAGCTTTTAATTAATAGTTAAGGTAGGGGTTTTAATTGCTTTTTTTCCCTCTGTGAACAGTGGAAACAGCTCCATTCTAGTTGAAGTCAGTGGGTGCTTTTTCATGGATTTTAAGTAGAGCAGGATCAACCTCGTAGCGCACACTGGTACGGGAATGGTGTGCGTGCAATAGTAAAAGAAACGGAGCTCATGGGAGCAATTCAGCAACTGAGGATGGGCAAGCTACTACCTTCCTCCACATGCTTTTCCTTGCTTCAGGAAAAGAAAGACAACTGGAGGGCCTGGCCGACACTCAGCAGGAGATATTACTCAAGGAGCGCGTGTAGGAGAAGCAGCGAGCCGCCTTTCCTGGCCGCGTTAGTGCTGCCCGCTCAGCCAGGCTGGCAGCTTGGCCAGACACGGCAGCCTGCCCCTGGGCTGGGGCTGGAGGCATCTGTTTCCTAGTGGTTTGTGCGGGCAGTTCCAGAAGGGCCTTCTGACACTGAGGGCCCAGGAGCAGGGGTAGCACTAGCCCTTACGGCCGGCATTACCACTCCTCTGATGAAACCCAGCCGCCTAATGCATGTAACCTATTATAACTGTAATTGCAACTAATTGAAATTCATCTCCTATTAGCTCTGCACTTTCCATGAAAATAAAAAAGTAGGATGGGAGTAAAGTAAAGAACAAAACTGCTTTAATGGTCCAAAATGGAGCAATTATTTTTTTCTCTTTACCTAAACATAGTTTACTGCCTTATTAAAAGCATTTTTGTAGGAATACTATCGCATTAAAATTCCAGTGCATGAATCACCAACCAGAGCCACTGTTGCTTTAGCTAATACTGGTTTTCTCCTTTAGCTTTTGCAAACTAAAAAGATTCAGGTCATGCTGGGGTCACTGAAATCTTGTGCTTCCACTTATGGAAAATGAATGATACTGCTCTGCAGCAGAACGTTGGCATTCTAGTAATAAATGATAAAACTACTCTAACAGTCTTTATTTATGGCTGCTTTTTTCCATGGAAGATTATTATATTTACTCGTGGATAGATACATTTTCATGCAGTTAAGTAATAAAGGCATCTTGAGGAATTGCTATCTGTCCAGTGAACATAATTTCAGGCCATAATGAATATCTGTAGTTCCTAGACTACTAGCACTGTAATCTAAAAGGCCCCTAATATTGTAATAAGCAGAAACCGTAAATTGTTGATTTACAAGAGGTCAGTAAAGGAGCATTGCTTTCCTTAATCTAATGTAGTTGTATTTAATATTACCATATAAAACAGAATTTTAATTTTCCTTGAGAAATGCAGGGCTTGAATCTGATCTTGTATATACAGAAATGCCAACATATAATGTCTCCGAGAGAGAAGCTTGTTCTGCCAAATGGCTAAGATCTCTCAGTTGCCTCGACTTGCATACCTTAGTCAGAATGAAAGTTTGCTAGGCTGTGTCCTTGCTAAGCACTTCTCGTGCCCCTTTCCCAGCCACTGCATCCTCTTCAGCTGCTCATGTTCTTCACCTCTTCCTAATTAAAAATGTCTAAATGTAACGAGGGATTGTCAGCATATGCATACCATGTTCTTACCTGCATTATTAGCACATTAGATTATTTAAAATGAATATATCAAAGTTCATATTTCACCACTTGTTCTGTTTATTTACCTCTTGCATTACACCTTGCTGCAGCAGTGAAAAAATTGATCAGTCACTTCTTCCTTCCTTTTTGGCTCTCTGATGAGGAAGTCCTGCCTGCGGATTGGTGTCCTGGCAGGTATGAGCAACTGAAATGATTCTTCTGGCTTGAAAAGTCAACTTAGCAGTGTACACATTGGACAGAGTTCTCATTATCACAGATTTTACATGTTCTGTATTATACTTATGAAAGTGGTAGAGTCTTGTCTTACACTTCCCAATAAATACATTTCTGCAGGCAGAATTGTTCTATATCTCTGGTCACTCATGTGAACAGTAAAAATGTGCTTTCCATCATTTCTGTACTTATATAATCATGGGGCAATTATTTCCTCTGACCGTCATGAAGAGATATGTTTGTTTGGCAGTTACAAGTAGCCAAACTCATGTAGACAAAAAACTAACCTTCTAGTTAAAGGGGAATAATAGAACATGTGCTAGCAATGTTAACGTTAATAGTCCTGGGAGCTAGAGCTTTGTGAAGTCTCTGTTTATTGTTGCTCTGTGTCACACACAGTGTAACAGGGTTCCAGTGGAATTAGTTTAGCCTATGAAATAATAACATGTAGGTCGTAGGGGATGCTATCACTTGTAGTGAGAGCTAAATGCCAATGCTGAGATAAACATACAGGTTAGTTTCATGGGGCACTCTCTTACCTTCTCATCACTGCTTACTGCAGTGCCTTGAAGGCAAACAAATCCTGCCAGAAATAAAGATCAAGCCATGGATGTAGGAAACTCAACTGCGAGTCCAAATTCTGATCACAGTTACTGCTATGTAGTCTGAGGGTAGCCAGTGCCAGCTGTCCTTTTTGTCAATTAAAAGCCATTTCTGAAACACTTCGTATGTTTCAACACTTTATTTTGTTTTAGTACATTCCTCCCTACACGTTTCCTTCAGTGCCAAACCACAGGCTATTTTCATAGAGATCGTAGAGAAAGTTTTGCCATATCATCCCTCTTTCCATACAAGGACGCATTTCCACTGTGTTATCCATCAACTTCAGTCTGAGACGGGACAAGCCTGGGGCGACCTAGGATTTATGCATTGGCTTTCTTCCGGTTTACGGACATTACCTGGAAAACCAGCACTTGGGCATTATTAGCTTTTCTGCGGTTCTCATTCTCTCAGTTCCATGCTGGAGTGTGTGATGTCCTCTACTGCAAGCATGTTCACATGTCAGCTTGGATAGGTAGGCCTCTATCATTTCCTATTTCTGCCAAAAGAGATCAGTAAATGCACCTGCTGCCTACCTGTCCAGGTACACGACATCAAATGCATTGTGAAGTCCTTGTGCACATGGACAGTGCAATACACAGCATCTTTGTACACCAGCCGGGGTAACTGTGCAGAGCTTTTGCAGCATGTCTTTCTAACACTTGCGAGAAGCTGTGAAGGTATTGCATAGATGGATCATGACTGTGTTGCGTGCATTTCTTGAAAGTGCTGGACGCATTGCACATCAGCTCTGTACAGCCTAGTGACGCATGTAGACATGTGTGGTTTCTGGTTAAGGGATGATTTGGTACCGGCTATGACACAGTGGGTCTCATCAGGCTGCCGTGCATCTGGAAATCTTGCAAAAACATAGGTAGTCCTCAAAATCTGACTGGATGACATTTTGGTGCAGAAGACAAGGTTATATGCAGGAAATCAGAGACCTGTGTTAGTCTTAGGATAGATCCCTGAGAGTTAGACTAAATGGACTCATCTTGCTCCAAAAGATGTCAGAATCATGCCCTTAAGTTGTGTATTTCACCCCGTGGCTATAAAGAGAGGCTGCAATGAGGGTCTCAGAAGTAGAGATGTAAAGTCAGATGAGATAACTCTAACTTCCGCTTCATATACCAAAGTCCAGAGCTGTAGTTGTAATCTCAGAATAATCACTCAGCTGCAGTATAATGAAGTGCCTAAAATCCCTGGGTATCTCAGTTCTGCTAGTTTCTTTCTATAGGTTCTGTATATGTTTCTTGGCATACTGCAACAGCTGTCAGACTGAACACGTAGGAGCTTCTGGATCTTATGAAGGCCTACCGGAATTCACAGGCTGGGTGTTCCTCAGCCTGCTTGGCCTTGCAGCTTGAGTGAGCTGTCTGAGAGGTTGAACATAGCACAAAACCAGAGCTGGGGGGTTGTGTGACTGCCTACTTTTGTATGCTAAGTGTGTCCACGGAGGAGCATGGCGGCCTGAGTTCAGTTTTCCCCTTGCTCGGGGAGGAATTCAGCTACAGGCCTTATGGCAGGGTGACCCACCCACCAGGAAGGGAGTTCCCAGTCCATCTCACAGGAGCATAACATAACATAAGCTTATTTAGAGGCTGCATACATTTTTTTAAAGGCTTAGTTGATCACAGAGCAGAAAAATGCTATCTATCCTGAGCAGGAGACAGAGGGAACAAGGAGGAGAGAAGCAGGTTTCAGTCCCTGCTCAGAGGAATGTTTATGTGTTTTATATTAAACCATCCTTAGATAAAACACACAAATGTTCTGGTGTATCCTGCCTCCCTTGTCCCCAGGAGGCCTTTAACCCTTAGGCTAGAGAGTCGTGTTATCCTTGCACAGAACCGCCTTCCCTCCCTTCCTCACATATTTACTCTCATCTCAAACTGCTCAGTGTGGAGTGGAATTGCTTCAGTAAGAGAATTTTCAAGATCCTACCATGCAGCCTGCTGCTTTGTAGTTACGGGCACTCACTTAGAAGACAGGAGAAGCAGGTCTGAATTGGACCTCCTTTTGCCCAGTGGGCAGAAGGATGAAGCTGGTTTAAATAGTGTGTGATTTCTGTTCTAGCAACAAGACACTGCCAAATGAGCACGGTGATAGCTAAAGGCTGTTTGCATACCAACCTATCAGAAGTGTCTATCTTAAGCTTGCTGTTTTCTAAGCAGCAGGCAAGTCCTGCGGCCAGCGGATTCGGAACACGGGCTTTAGGCATTCTCCAGCGTGCACTGGAGAGTGGTAGGTGTCTTCAAAGAGCACTACAGAGCTGCCAGCCTCTCCCCATGAAGTGCAGAGGATGTCTGTGCCCCTCAGCAGGGCAGTTCAGTGAGGCAGGACGAGCTTATAGGAAAAAGCAGGCACCAGGGTACATCTGCATGGGTGTCTCCATTGACCTGAGGTTAAGCTTTTGCTGAAGGTAGCAGCGCTGGTGACCTCCCATATTGCACAAGGGCTTATTTTCTATAACTTGTTCTTTCTACAGTTTGTATTTCTTTCTTCTACGTGATGAATGTAATCTGTTCCTGTTCCCCTCCACCCTCCACCCCAATAAGTGCTTTGAATAAGCAGAATTGAGAAAGGAAAGGAAAGAACAAAATTTAAAAAGGGATTTTTTTTTTTCCCTAGAGGATTTTCAATCAAAATAATTTCAAATTATGGGGTCAGAATGAATGTCATACTTCTATGTTAAGTACTTGCCTACTTTGTGGGATGTTTTGTACAGATTCTTCACTAAATTATCTTAGCTACTGTTGCTAGGTAACATTATTTGCTTCATAGCATCAGAGAAATAAGAGGGTCAAAGAGAGCAATTTCATATTATTATCATCTGAGTTACGCTAATAAGGTTTTCATTGTATGTCTTAGAAATTTTTCCCTGTTTTTTTTTTTTCCTAGGGAATGTCATTGTCTATGGGAATACAATTGACATTTACACCACAGTAGAAACCCTCTTATCTCTTGGAATTAATGGTTCTCGCATACATCTCATACAACCTCCACTTAGCTCACATGTTACTTGCCTTAACAACAACGCGATCGAAAGTGCTGTTGAGGAAGCACTGTCAAAGGCTGGTGTGACTGTTTATTGTGACAGTATCCTGGCAGAGTGGAATGAAGGCGACCACACAGGCCTTATAACATGTGCTTCTTTCACGACTAATACAAAACCATTTAAATTGCAGTGTTCAGTAAGTATATGCTTTCATTGTATTTCCTTCAGTCAGTTTTTTAAGACAAAGACTGTCAGACTTAGCTAATCCTTCGTTGTTTTATCTATTTCCCATTGTTTCTAGAAGATTTAATGTTCACTTGTTAATCTGAAGGAGTGTTTTTTAAAAATCCAAATAAAACCATTGTTGATACCCTGGCTGATTTGGATTAAAATGTACTTAAGTCAGCTGACTCACGAATAGTTGTTCATTGATGAGTGACAAATACTGTTAATTCATTTTCTAAGTCATTCTAGAGATTCGTCTGTTATTTAAATGAGTACAGTAACTCCTGCCTGTAGTTCTGTGAATTTGATTAAGAATCTGAAATAAAAAGGCAATAATGTTAGGACAGAGAGGCCCACTGTGTAACTTCGTTAAAACATGTTTTTAAACAGTTTTTTCTCTCTCTACATTTATGTTCAACTGCTAGGTAAATTACACACACACTAATGCATATGGCACCACTGGGAGATCTGGGTCAGTTTTTAACCTTTTCTAATGGGCAAAATAGGCCTACTTTTCTTTATTGGGCAAATCAGTGAGAGTGAGGTGAGCACTTTTAGTAGAATCATTTCAAAACATACATCCAAAATATCCCCTTATGACCATCTCAGAACATCCCCTCTGCGTGCACACTCCTTTTATGTTGTAATTGTGGAGAGGAAGAACCACGTGCTGTCCCCTGAAAGCTTTCCAGGAGTAGATGTTCCCTCCCAGCTCCCCTCCACTAGAAGGCTGTAAATCATTGGGTTCTTTTCAACCCTCTTCTTTTTTAGTTTATGGGTACCTAAGTCTTTCCTGATGGAGGTGAAGACCTTGCACAGCATTTTCATCCCACTAGCAGTCACCTGACTTGGTTCTTTTTTTGGTCCCCTTATCTGTAGTCCAGGGATCTAGCAGTCTAGAGGTCTTGAGACCAGGCTGAAGCCCATGGCTTTGAACCTTTCATTCTCCCCAAACTTTCCTTTCATTCTGTCCTCCTCAGCAGCTTTTCAGTTTCTCTCCTCTTTCCCAATCCCTGAAATCCCTATATTTTTATTGTTTCTTCCAGAAAAATATTAATCTAGTTCTTGTTCTTACAACTTAATATTCGTTATCCTCGCTACCTCCCTCTAAATTCCCGTTCTTTTCTCCATCACCTTGTCCGTGTGACCTTTACCATTCCTTCAGTGGCTTCCATTTCCTAGTTATTCTTTTCCTTTGCTCAGTGGGTGTCCTTCCTATGGTTATGGTTCCTTCCTGTTACAGTCGCTCTTATCTATCCTCTAAGAAGAGGAAGGAGCAATTACTTCTGATGTCAGGGGCTGTATCTTCTCCCAAATCAGTTCAGCTGTTCAGCTGTCTTGCAAGGCTTCCGTATTCTGCACGGAGGGCCACCTGGAAGGAGAAGTTCAGCAAAGGAGGAGGGAGCTTGTGCCAGAGAGCAGCCTCTGCCTCTGCCAGCCCGGCAGCTGCTTTCACAAGGGAGCAGAGGACGTGGGGAGCAGCACTGCAGCAGCTTGAGCCTCGGAGGATTTGAGCGAGTATCAGCTGTTGATTGGCACTTCTTGAGGGCTTAATTTGTTGAGTCCTGCAGGATAAAAACAACAGGAGAAAATCTCCTCTTTCCTTAAAGCAGCAGCCTCCCTCCCTTCTTCCCCTCCAAGGCTGACAGATGGCTCCTAGCCTGAAGGTTGCAGCAGTCCCCTGCCACCCTCTTTGGTCACAATGTCCTGCCTGCCAGCAGGCAGAGTACTGGCACGCACAGGCCCTTTAGCCTGATCGACAGAACTGCCCTGATTCAGAGCTCCTAGATAGTCAGAATTCCTTGACCTACACTTAGTTCATTAAACGTTATATACAAAAAAGCACAGCTTTCTGCTGCCACATCTCTGTTTTATCAGTGTTACTAAACTTTCATGCTCTCTCTGCTTGCCTCTCCTATGCCTTTTCTTCTGGCTAGCTCATGCAGTTGATCATTAGTGTCTGAAGCTTGCTTCAGTCCATAGGAAGGTTCTTCAGTGGTGTAATTGGATAATACCTTTACCCCGATCACAGCTGTGTCCTCCTTGAGGCAGACTACAAGGGAAGTACATGTTTCTGATGCTATTTTACCCTGATACAGTTATGTCTCAGACTGATTAAAATGAAGGCAGTAAGATAACACACGCTCATCTGACAATTTATTTCACCCTTTCCTCAGCCTGCACAATAATATTTCTTGATGGCAGACAGCAGCATTCATCTCGTTGTATAATCACGTTAAAAACTGAAGGCACTGATTAAGGGAAAGCTCCTTACTAAGGGTCTGGAGCTTGGCAAAATGTGTGGTGGCAATGAGGTACATACAGCCAGTCTTCATGGTCTGTATCCTTTGCAGACCATCTGACTTTGTTTAAAAGTGCATCTCCACCTTGTCCTTATTACCTGTAACCCTGAATGTCTCCATTCTTATTTCTCACTATTTTGGGGACCTCTGTTCTCCCAGCTATCATCCCATCCTTTGTAACACGCACCTAAGAAGAAGACATTGCTGATAGCTGTAGCTCGTTTCATGACATGGTGAAAGGGAGCCCAAATGACTCTGTCTCTGTAAATAGTAGCTTCTGTTGGAAATGTCAGATGCTCCCATAGCACCCTCAAACTCCATCTCAGCTTTGGTCTGTCTTACTAGTTCCAAAACATAGCCCTTGTAGCTTAGTGCAGCCTGATGGGGAGGGACCCTGCTGTTGTGCTCAGGTGCTTGACCTGGCAGTTGCTTTGTATTCTCATTTAGGTTTAGGAGAATAGAAACCCTTGTGGTTTGCAATTGCCTGAAATCTCTCTTAATACCAGATAAGTGTTCAACTGACGGTAAAAAGCAAGTGTTTTTTACTACTAATGCAAGTCTTAAGATTTACTGTATGTGGAGACAGGCACAAAAATAAATTAAAGCTATATTTCGGTTTCATTCCATGAGGTAATTCAGCTAAAAGGCTGCCTGGGCAGCATTCACTAAAATCCAAATTTTAGACAGGATTGTTTTTGTTTCCCCTGAATAGGCCAGCTTAGGACTGAGGCACTGAAATCTACTTTCTCTGCTAAGTCAAGCTGTCATTTTCTGACTTGCTCTACACTGGGAATCTCTCCCGCTTCTGTTGTCTAAAATGGCTTTCCAAGAGAGCAGCAAACACGGGGCAGGAATTGTTATGTCCTTGTGCCCCTGCAGCTCCAAGTTGGAATAATTCAGCCTTACTGACCTGCTCCTCATCTCTTTATAATTTAGAACTGATGCATCTCCAGGTGATATAAGGGTCCGGTCTTACCTTGATCTGAGTAGTCACTTCTTTCTTTAATGAGCACATTTTTGGTTCTAGATCTCAGGCAGGTTTTTGCCTCTCTAAAATCACTTTCAGACAAGGCAGTAAATGAAATAAACCACATATCAAGAGAAACATTAAATGTGTATGATAGTCAATTGAAAAGTTTCTCTGTCAATGTGCAGAGTCTATGCAGAGCATGCAAACGAATTGAAAAGACATGTGGTGGGAGCCTGTAATCTTCCCTCTTGCAGGGTCTGCGTTCGCTTTCAAAGCAGCTTTTGGGGCATCTGGAACGTTTTGCTTGACCATGCTGTGTGCACATCTGTTCCACACTGGTGCCTAATGTGTCAGATGAAATGATGGCCACTTCCAGCACTGCCTTCTTTGTGATGCTTGTTGTGCTTGTGCTGCCTTAGCTTGTATTTTGGGAAGCAAGAGTCCAACCTGCTTCCTTATGTCCCAGAATAGAGACTGTGCAGATGCCAGGGGGAGAAAAAAAGAAGAGAATTGTCACTAGTTTTTTTCCTTGAGATATGGAGGAGGTATTTAAGGATTTAGGGCTACTTTCCTTCAGTGTCTTTGGAATCTCCTGTGGGGAAGAGAAGCTCATGGGCTCAATGGACACCGCTCCCAAAATAAATCCCTCATCTCAGGGCCAGTTCTGTAACCCGTAGGAGTAAAACAGCAGAGATTGTGTTCTCAAAGAACAGAAGAAACATCCCTTTTAAATCCCACAAACCACAACACATTGAATAAGAGTCTGCTCTGTTTATTACCAGATTCAGTAATTTACTGCCAAATGTATCAAGTACTTTACTTAAAAACACAAGCCCCATTAGGGCTGACCCAGATGCTCAAGGGCTGGACGTCCATCTAGACCTGTGTCACATCTCTGAGAGTGGCCAACCCCAGATACTTCAGAGGCAGGTATACCCAAGCAGTAAGTAGGTGCAGGTTAATCTGCCTCCTAAAGCAAATATCATCCAGAGCTCGAGTAGTTAGAGAGGTGTTTCATCCTTGACAAAACTTGGATATTCTTTCTGCGATTTAAGTCACTGTCAAGTATAGTAAATCTGAGTGCTCATGTAAATATTCAATCGTTTTACAACTATCACATATCTCTTGGCCTCCGCAACTTTCCCTGGCTTAAATTCTGCCACTACATTTTGACGGAGGACAACATTTCCTCTTGACAACTTGAATTTCCTATCTTTTCATTTAAATGAATGTCTCTATTCTAGTAGCCATAGTAGCATAGTTTGCAGGTAAATAGTTAGGTACAACAGTTCAGAAAATAATTGTAAGATAGAGTTATCCTGCTAAAATGCAAAGTACATTATACTTTTCCATTACTTAGCTTTTCAGTTTGGCTTAAGTATTCGAAAGAACTCTTTTTAAAGAATTCCAGTCGATTTCATATATGCATACTAACACAGAAAATATGCACATCCACTCAGGCTATTTGAGATAGTTAATATTGGGAGTTTTTAAAATAAAATTCATCTAGTTTACCAGAAGTTGATGAGTCTAGTTTAGTATTTAATAGTTATGAATACCGGATCAGTAGGCGATATCTGTGTATATAAAATCATTCTTTATTTCATGTTCCTGTTTGTAAAATAAATAACTTTCAGAATGAATGTTTTTTCATTCAAAATGAGGATTTTATTTATGAAATTAGCCAGTAACTCGTGTGTAATAACCTACACTTACTAACATCTTTTTTAGGCATTTTTTAGCTTTGCCAATAGGACGGTGGATTATGAAACCTTCAAGGCAATTAATGATGCTTGCCTTGTTTATGATGGAAGACTTGTGATTGATACCAATTTCCAAACTAATGACGTCAGTATCAAGGCTGCAGGTCCTTTAACAAAGTTCTCCAATACATATTTTGCGAATGAATGGACTCACAGCAACTTCAGTTCAAAAGAGATTGGCTTCCAGCTTGCTCTATCTATGCTGAATGTCTTTGATCCAACCCTTGAGCCACCTTTTGAGCTACAGAAAGATGTGGATAGACTCATCCCCATGTACAAAGGGTGTAAAATTAAAGGTATGTCAAAATGGAGTTCTGCCATACTTTCATACTCTCTTTGGTATTTTCACTGTTACAAGGTAAAGGTCAGTTCATCTCCCCTAAGCAGCCATCGAACAGCATTATTCAAAGTCATCAAAGTTCTGTAATAGTCAGTGGAGTCTATTAGAGAGTGCCTGTATGTGATACTGGAGCATGGTTCTGCTTGTGTTACGGGAAGACTGCATTTCCCCTTGGTATCACCCAGCTCAAGATATCTAAAAGTTTTATCTCTATGCTAAGTAATGTTCAAGTGAGAGAAATAGGAGCATCCAGAAAATGATCCATGCTGTCTACTGCATAATATCTCAGATAGGTGGGATGAAGTGTTTGCAAGAATTACATATTGTATACCACATGCACCCTCAGATTAACAGTTCTTCATCTGTCTTTAGCTCCATATCTTGTCTTGCATTTGCAAAAAATAAGCTTATGTTTTAGATTTTTACTAATGATGGACCGAGCTGTTCTTTCATTATACTGCTGGAGTGATTCCAGTGAAAATCAGTATCTTTATTCCAAGTTCAAGATCAATAAAGCCATGATCAGAACTTTTCACTGTGCGGCTACCGCACCAGTATAGGTAAAAGCACAAAAAAAAGTTTTAGAACATGAACTCCACTAAAAAAAATTCTTTACTTCCTCTTTAGAGAGCGATTTAGTGAATAAAATATATGATTACGGGAGATGGAGAGCAAGCAAACACTTTATTTTCCTTTTGTTTTATGAATGACTAAATCTAATCTTTTAATTCATGGCAGGAGGTGTTCTTCCTGGAGGTTATAATTACTTGCATATTTCCAAACCAGAAATCCCTATACGCTTGGACGTACAACTTGCACAGTCTAATTATGTAAGTTACATTATTTAACTTTCCTTTGTTTTGTCTTCAATTTTGAAAGGCGTTCTTATTCAGAACACCAGATGCATGCATAAGTATCACACATCTCAAAATATATCTTGAGTAAGGGTGGACTTAAGTAGGTAGTTAGAGACCTTTTGAGCTGGGACTCAGCAGCAGACTCTGGAATGGAATGAACTGCATTAAAGCAAATCTCTATGCATTTAATTTAATTCAATTTAATTGTAAATTCACTAGCATGTTGTAAATTTAGTATACATACCAATAAGATTAAAGCTACATACGACCAAGCTCTTTACATCAATTCTTGCTTCTTTTGCCATGAAATCTGCCAAAATCTCCCTTACTGGGAGGCAGAAAGGATTACCAGTGAGAGGAAAGTTGTTTTTTGTTACTCAAATTGCTAGAGCATGATTAGAAGTCTTTGGCTGCATCTTTGATTGTTGTTGCCTATCTTCTTTTCAGAGGATACATCAGGGAACATCCTTAGAGCCACTCCAGAAACTCCATGTAAATCCTAAAAGAATTTCCTAAGAAAGAAATAAGAGAAACTAGTGAAGCATATTACCTGAGAGAGAGGGAAATAACAAAGGTTACTGCAGCCTAGCAACAGATTTTTAAAAATATATAGAAATGGAACATGTATACAGCTTTATAAAATAGCTTTGAGCCTTTGATCACCTCACTGCGATGTGAGGTGTGAAACACATTGTTATATTTTTGTCTTCCATTAAGTAATTGGTTGATTTAACTAGCTGAAACTAAATGCTACCGTTTGAGCATCAACGTTATTGTTCTTTTATTAATAGCAATGATAGTGTTCCAGCAACAGTCAGCAGCCCCTGCTCAAATTAGCAAGAGGGAGTCCCTGTCCAGAGGAATATTCAGTTTATAAAGACAAAAGAGGCTGCATGTGAGAGGGAGAACCACGAGGGGAAAGATGGTATCTGAGATCACACAGCATGTGGGAGCAAAATGAAGAACAGACCCAAGTTCTGACCCCAGTCTCCTGCACAAGGCAGCTTGATGACTGGCAGCTTACGGGCTGCTCTGCAGGCTTGGGTTCGCAAAGGAAAATCAGGCAGACAGAAAGAAGTTTTTTCACTGAAGAAAACGAGAGTATCTTTGAAAAAAGTGTATCTTCACGTGTATATGTTACAGGCAGATCCACAGCTGGTTAAAAAAAACAGCACTGCTCCCGTAACCATAAGTACTTTGATCTGTTAGAAAGGTTGAGATTCTGGCTCTTGCGTTTTAGGATGTGGTCTAGGATTGCAGTGGTGGAGACTATGAAAAAAACTAGTGCATGTAACATATGAAACCTTGAATAGGCAGAATTTCATGGGTAGATGGGAACACCTTTTGTGGTTTGTCTAAACAAAAATATGTTCTTTAAATAGCTGATCAGTGTCATACGTGTTTCCAAAGTCAGCATAACACCTAGGCCCAAGTACCAATCATAGCAGCTACGGTTTGCTGACAGGCAGCACTGGATTCAGGGGTGAGGAGCAGAAACCAGAGCCTGGTTGCCCTGCAAGCTGCCAGGTGGGTGGATGTAAGGCCCACACCTGGGTCTAACACAGCTTTGTCCAATGAAGTATTTATCTGAACGTTTTAAGGAGGTCAGTGAGAGCAATTCTAAATTATGTGTGTGTGTGTGTAATATATATTTACATATGTAAAATATATTATGCATGTGCGCACGCACACACACACACACAGACACACACACACACATATAAAGGCAATACTAAGTCATCAGTAGTTAGGCTAGAACATAGGCCTGAAGGAAACATCCTAAGAGATCAAGTTCAGCTTCTGATCTTGAAGCAGGCAATTGCAGGCAACAATCTAGCACACAGTGCCATTTATGACATTAGAGCCTTTGTTGTAGAACTGGACAGGGTCCTTTTTGATCCTTTTTCCTTATTGTAAGACTGTTCCAATATGTCACCCCTCTGACTACTGGAAAACTTCTACACAAAGCCAAAAATGCTTGATTGATATGTGATACATCTGTGTTTTAATATTGCAACATGTTTGTAACTGATTAATATGGTAATATGAACCCTCTGCCTATGGTTAGGTAGGTACAATTGTGCCATAAATTTAGACTCTGCAGACATACCATATATATTATATACACATATAAATATAGGTTGCTATAGAGCTGTGAATGCTGCATTTTTCTGAGAGCATTCAGTACAGCATATAAAGAACCCATGCCGCTGTGCGTGCAATAATACAGATACTGTACAGTAAATTAGGATGAATAGGGTCCAATTCAGTTGCTTTAACAAAGGCATCTAGTGTCGCTGAAGATGCCCCAGGGCATCCCTCCTGGCCTCCAGCTGCTGCTCCAGAAGGTCACTGATCTCTCATGGATCCTGTGTCATAACTGCCAGCCCAGTTTGGATTTCTCAGATGCCCTTAGGTGTCTCAAATGGCACTCAGGCTTTGCAACAGACCCAAGTCCATGCTATGCATGCAGTCGTATGCTACACAACTTGTGTGCAGTTAATCAAGGTGCAAACCACACAGCAAGTCTGTGTGCCTAAACCATGGCAAAGTACATTGCTATATAAATCAGGTTACCAGGAATGGATAGTCTTCATTTAAAAAAAAAGTTCGTGGATTTTGAGAAATGGTAAACATCAGCTAGGAAACCCTACCTGATCCTGTACATAAGCTAAGTGTATATTCACTCATTTCTACAGTTTTCCTTATGTTTTCTGTTCCAGGGGACAGAGATTATAACCGGAGAGGCAAGACATGGGAATTATTTCAGGATACATATCAATGAATATAATATGGTAGAAACTATCACCTGCTTTTCAAAGGAACCCTTTCCTGTCTCCAACTATATTTGCTTGTATGGGCAGCATGAGCGTCTTCTTAATGATCTCTGTGCTCGCTGGAAGGAGAAGCTGATTACAGATCTTTACAGGTAGGAACTCAACGCTGTGCATGAAATCTACATCCTGGCAGAATTATAGTTTTCTTTTATTAGAGTTTATCGTCTATTTTCCTGTAGAACTCAAACTAGTTTTTTGAAAATACATTCCATTATTTAGCAAAATTATCAATGGTAATGCAAGCTCTGAAGACCTTCCTAAAAGAGCTCCATCTCTGAAATGTATTCAGAGAAGCAGCAGTGGTTTGCTTCACCAGCTTTCTTATGAAAGAACATGTCAGTATCTTCATAACTGTTGCTTCGAATATGCAATTGGCTTAATTCATCAAGCTGTCTGAAATATCTTTATTAATGAAGATTCTTATTCAGAAGTCATTTTTAAAAGTTTTTTAGTGATCTGAAATGGAATTTTTAAGCCACAGGCTTCTAGGAAGATTTAAATCACATATGCTGATAGTCACACTGAACAGCTTACCTGCTTATATGGTGGTAAAACATAAAACATGAACTTTATCCTCTGGCCTGTGTTCTCTGTGTCATGACCACAGGGAGTTATTTCAACTTAAAATTAATGTTATAGCTGGAAACTGTGTCAGGACGGTGTATACCTAATGGAGGTTCCCCGTCCAACTTGCAGGATTTCCCTCTCAAAAGCAGTTCACAGCAGCAAAACAGGTCTTAGAGATTTTCTTACACTACTTCCCTTCTGCCACCTATGTCTAAGCAAGTGCAAGGAAGTCTTTTGGACTAGATGTTCTGAGGCAAAGGCAGATTCTCTCAAGTAGTAGGAGATGGTAAATTCTCTTTTGAGAAAAGGCCTGGTTATTTCCCTCTAAGATTTATGTGCCATCTCCTCAGAGAGAATTTGTCATTGCTTTTGAAAACACAAATTTAATTAAAGAAGTTATTTTGGGCGTTTAGATGGGCATTTGAAAAATGAGATCTATGTCTTAAAACTTGTGCTACTTCTCTAGAATTTCATGTCTCAAAAAATTACCTGGCCTAAAACCTCCAATTTGTTTTATTCTTTATGCCTCAGTGAAAATAAGTGTTTTTGAGGTCAGACTTGGCAAAGAACTCCCGAGTTTTATTCATGTGGTAGGATTCTTTGAGCGTGCAATTGAAATAGTAGGTAAAGAAGAAATGGCTGATATATCTATTTTGATTTTCATTTAACAAAATCCCTCACAAGTGGTGGCTTGGGAACCTAAATTATCACAGATAGAGAAGCAAAGTATTGCATTACATAAACTGGTTGTGAGACAAAGATCCAAACACAGAAACAAATGGAAAATTTTCCTCATGATACAAGGCTGATTGTGGCACCTTAGAAATTTCCAGGTCTGATTTTGTTCAATATATTTACAACTGTTTTGAAGAAAGGCATAAATGGTAGTAAAAATTTCTGGTTAAATAAGATTATTTAGATTACTTAAGTCTGAGAGGAGCTTCAGAGGGGGCCTGTCTAGGCTTTGTGAATGTGAAGCACTGATAGCAAATAAAATGTAATAATGACAACTAAATAATTAACACAGGAAGGAATAATTTGAACTACTTGTACACACTGGTATGAGGTTGTGGCAACAGGTGAACAGCTGATTCATTGAACTATTTTATGTATATAGCCTTTTTAAGTAAAAGTTTGATGTAAAGGATGCAGCGTGGTGCAAGAGAAACTTTACATGAGAATAGCAACACGCTGATCCCCAAAAATCTGGAAACATGTACACCAAGGTCTCACTCCTCAAAAGATTTTGATTACACAGTTCCCTAGGGACTAAAATACATTGATCTCGTGGAGAGTTACATGCCTCTGTAACAGAAGGAAGTACCTGGTATCTTGAGGCAGGGACTTAAGAGCCCTTGAATTCTTGTACCTCTTTCTCTATCTTTTGTACTTCTGCTGGTTCCGTGTCAAAAATCTTCACCAGAATATGGATAAGACATTGTACATCAATAAGGACAGAGAAATAAGAATTCCTGCT